AGACTTCAGCCTTAAAAATGAAAGGAGCTAGAGTCAAATTCCCATCTAAAATGCATTCTGTGCCTTGATTTATTCCTAACTGAGCATGTCTACATAGACCTTTATTTGAGAAATAGCTTCAATCCACAGAACTACAGCACTAGATAAAATATAAATTTATCTAGTCAGCATTTACAGTGCCAAACAGCATGTCCATCAGCTATTGAGAAATGTACTGAAACTATAGTGCATTGCAAAGCAAGTGATTTGCATCAGAAGGTACTAAATAGATACTGTATATCCACATAAACCTAATTTATAGAGCATAGGATTATTGCAATATCTACTCTGAGCATCACAGAGCCTGCAGCAGAATGTTTCTACTCTCCGTGTGCTATAGCAACAAAGATGATTAGGGGACTGGAGGCTAAAACATATGAAGAACGGTTGCAGGAACTGAGTATGTCTAGTTTAAGAGAAAGAAGGACTAGGGGAGACATGATAGCAGTGATCCAATATCTCAGGGGTTGCCACAAAGAAGAGGGAGTCAAACTATTCTCCAAGGCACCTGAGGGTAGAACAAGAAGCAATGGGTGGNTGATAACTGCAATATGGCTCTGGCCTCCTCTCTGCCTCCGACACAGAGCCCTATAAAAGAAGTGCATACAATCTTGCATAAGTACTTTGCCCACCTGCAGCCAGTCTCTTTTACCATATAATCCTGCAAAAGAGGCAACCCTGACATTTCTGTCTTATTTATAAGCCTTCAGACCAGGTTTCATTTATCACAGTGACTACAGCCTTACCCAGACTCCAGGACTGACCCATGTTCCTCCTCAACTTCCTCACTGTCCGAATCTGCTGCCAGCTGCGCTGGCCGCTGGCAGGCCACAACATTTATATGGACTTTCTTATATGCTTCAGAACTTATTATATACTTCAGAAATTCTCTATGGCACAATTTTCTTCTAGGTTTATACTTAGGAATTAGTGTTCATTTTAGTGATATAATTGCTTGACAACGGTAATGTGCCACACACCATTTCAAATTGTATAGAAAACTGTGGCCCATCTTGTGAGTGGATAGACAATTGTTCTGAAATGCAAGGCCTCTAGAGGTTTGTAGGAGCTGCTAGTGCCAAGTTGGAAAAGGTCTAGGCACCAGGGACTTGCATATGAAAGGATTTGAAAAGTCGTATTGGCGGTCTAAAGGAGGAGAAAAAAGTATTTCCTTTGGGACAAAGATTTATTTTAAACATGTTGGAAACATTTGTTTGGAACAGGAGGAATCAACAGAGATTTTGTATGCCCGTGTGTATGTCTGAGTTTGTCTTGGAAAGGACAAGTCCTGTTAGCTTTTGGCTGCAAAAGGACTGATGCATTAATTCAACAGCCAGGACTTGCAACTTCGCTTCCGAATGACCTACAGCAGGAATGGGGAACAATGGCCCCATTATGACTTGTGGACTTCAACTCCCAGAATTCCTGAGTCAGCCAAGTTATAAAGGGGCCATCATTCCCCATCTCTGATCTATAGCATGGCTGTCAATAAGAGTGGCTGCTTAGTACAGGATTCGTGAACTTGGGTAGGAAAAGAAATTTATTTTCATCTATATTACTAGATTTCTCATTTTAAACAATTAGATAACTATATTTCAATAAAATCATTTTTCTTTGCAATGCAGTCTATAGCTGTCTATTTGATTTTATGCATTTTAATTTTAATACATTTGTCTGAGAAAGGATAGGGATATGGAGGTTAAGTATTCTTGGTCTAATACATGGATGTTAAGTGAAAAGAGAGTTTTTCTTAGGAAAGACCATTTTAACCCATGCAATCCTTGGACCCATTTATTTTTATAAACACATTTCTACATTAACTGAAGTGGGTAAGCTCACTCAAATAAAGCCTGCCCTGTACTTCTCAGTGTATCCAATATTTGCTAACAATCACTTTACATATTATAGGCTCTTCTATTTTTTATTAACCAGAGTCAGTTGGTTGAATTGGATGGTTATTGAAAATAATAAATAAATAAATAAATAAATAAATAAATAAATAAATAAATAAATAAATAAATAAATAAATAAATAAATAAATAAATAAATAAATCTTTTTAAAATGCCACAGGTTCACTCAGAGCAGTTAGAGTTCTGTAATAAATAAACACATTAGCTTCATGTGATGATTAATATTTTTATCTGATATCTTCATTTGTCAGCAGCAAAAGTCTTTTGTTAGGTTTTTCAGTTTACGGCAACTGTCAAAATATGATTCTGTTTTTTTTAATTTCCAAAGTATTAAAACAAAATCATTTTTCCCAATATTTTCTAACATTTAGATAATCATGTAGTTACTATTATTCCAGTTTACCAGCCACTTGGTTTTAATAAATGCTGTGTGTTGTTAGACAACTACTATAGTATTCCACACTTTGACACATAAATATTGCATTAAATATGTATCAGTTCTCTGGCAAACTGCATCTCTGTTGACTTTGCTGTCTGAATTTTCATCTTTTTCAAAGATCTGAGAGAATAAAAACTGCCGCTTTATAGATTCATAGCAATCTATTGATCAAATGTGTATGTCACTGACTCCCAATGACTCTGAGCAACTCAGAACAATTAATGCAAGGAATTACAATAAAACCAATTTTTAAAAGACAAAATGGGGAACAAAAAGATGGGAAGAACAACAGGCCAGATGTTGTCTGAGAACTCCCCTTTTGGTGTGATACCAATATCAGGGCATTCAGCAAACCTTGGCATTTTTTTTTATAAATTTTTTTATTAGTTTTATTACAGGAAAAAACACAAAAAGAAAGGCATCATCTTTCATTACATCTTGTAGAAAGCGTATCCATTGGTCACAAGTACATTTTGTGTGTTCTTTCCACAATCACATATATTCCATTCAGTTTAAATTGTATATGTTAAAAATTTATGNCCTGACAGTTAGAACAATTAATCAGTGGAACAGCTTGCCTCCAGAAGTTGTGAATGCCCCAACACTGGAAGTCTTTAAGAAGATGTTGGATAGCCATCTGTCTGAAAAGGTATAGGGTTTCCTGCTTAGGCAGGGGGTTGGACTAGAAGACCTCCAAGGTCCCTTCCAACTCTGCTATTGTATTGTATTGTATTGTACACACACACACAAACACACACACACAAACACACACACACACACACACAGAGTTCACATTTCAGTCCATTGTTCAGAATAAAATATTTTACTTCCAGGTGATATAGAAAAAAAATCACCAGAAATACCTGACTTTTAAAACTATTTTACATGACTGTTTGGTAATCCCACACTCCCACAATGTCTAACAACATAACATGCCTACAAAAAAATTCCACTAATAACTATGTAAAGCTGTCATTGTAATTAATACAGCTGGTATGCCGTCATCACCCCAAGAAATTCTCCAAGTAACAGTCTTGCTTAAAGTCTTGTGTGCCTACACTGTTGTTTTGGTTCTTACTCATTACAATACTTTCTTGGTGCTTCCATATCATGAACGTAACCTCTTTCTAAATAGCAGGGGTTTCCTAGAGCAAAGAGACAGATAGTCTTTGCTTTTGATGTCTTTTTCCCAAGTATTTAAGGTCATTTATACTTACTAACTGTATGACAGACTTACAGGTATTAGTTATGTCTGCATTTGTGTTTTATTTGTTGTCATAGAGATTGTGAGTCTGATTTTTCACAGTATGTACACAAGTACAACTGTACAATGTGTGTGCCATGAGAAAGGTAATCCTCAAATCTTCACAACTCTAATGGAGAAAATTAAATCGATGGAATGAGAATATTTCTGACTGCAATTTCTCCTCATCCACAAATCGGAGCTAGAAAATTTTGTATTGCTTTTTTTATCAGACCAGACAAATTTTTATGTGTTGTGGAAATTGTTGCATGTGAAATGCAAATCAAATGTTACAGATTAAAGATTATATATTATAAAGTTGAGTGCTTTTTAAAGATTGAAGTTGAGTTTCTGCATCATTTTTGGAAACTATGTCTTATGTCCATGCACTTATTTTATGTTTGTTCAGAATCATAGGCTGACAACAGAGCAGGAGATGGGCCTATCCATTTCCCATTCACCTTCCCTTCTCCTCCTTAAATGTAGAGTTTGCTCCAGTGGTGGGATTCAAATAATTTAACAACCAGTTGTCTGCCCTAATGACCAGCTGGGTAGGTGGGGACTCAGTGGTCATGTGACTAGATGGGTATGGCCAATTCAAAGTTGCTCATGTCGATGGGATGGGCGCTTTGTCTTAATTGTTACAATGTAATAAGGGTTAACAGGAAAGGCAATTTCTGTAAGTAGGGCAATAAAGGTTAGGCTAGAAACAACACCATAATGCTTCCCTCCTGCCTTCCTTGCAGGATTAGCCCTGTAAAGTGGGGGAAAAAACAAAGTGAGATTTCTTTCAACAACTGGTTCTCTGAACTGCTTAGAAAGTTAACAACCGGTTCTCCTGAATAGGTGCGAACTGGCTGAATACTACCTCTGGGTTGCTCACTTTTGAAAGAGAGGTTGAAGAAAGCTGCTGTTTATAATTAATGGTAACATTTTACCCCATTCACCCTAACAACATTTAATAAAGAAACAATATGCTTGTTACGGTCATTGCTGTCAATGTTTCTCTGCATCTCCTACCAGGAAGTATATAAACTGGGGACAGAGAATCTTGGAATCAGTTCATTTGTTATTCCTTACTAACATCAAAGGGAGAGGGAATGAAGATCCATTACTTTATGTGTCTGGTGGCAGCCATGCATATTCTGCAGCATGTTGCTCTGTCCCCAACATCTGAAACTAACAGGGAATAACTTGCCTTCATTTACAGACTTCTAGATTTAAGAACAATTGCTGTTTCCCACTGTAGTTGCATCTCGGAGGAACTAAGACTGCAGAACACACATGGATTTTCTAGGATGAATGTGTTGTGGTTGCCTGTGTCTGCCTATGGAAATGTAAATAAACCAATCTTTATTTTATTTCCAGTTCTAATGGCAAGTCTGTGTCATGGTCTGAACCAGGTGGAAGAGAAATTCCCAAGGGGCAACATATGTGGCACAGGCTCTCAGTGCATGTGAAGAATAAGGAACTAAGATGCAATCAGACAGCAGTGATCAAGCCCCTAACTAAAAGTTATCCAGGTCCAAGCAAGAGCCTCACTTTTTCGGACATCAGCAGTAAGACTTTGTACAATGTTGTGGAGGAGGAAGCAAGCGAATCAGTGCACTTCAGCCAAATGAGCCCTTCCATGGTTGTACACAGAAGAGTGATGGTGATGCCTCCACTGCAGGCAGCAGCAGAGGACATACAGAGTCCCAAAGTCTTACCACCCCCACCGCCACCTCCTCCACCACCGCGATTCATTATGGAGCAGCTGCAGGGTGTGGTCAACAAATTTGCCACGGGCATTCCTGATTTCAATGTTGTAATGCCCGTGTCTGGTGCAGGAAACGGACTGAGGCCCATATATAATCCTCCAGCAATGCAGCCACAGATATTGCCACTACAAATGGGCACTTTCAGTAAAGTGCCAGTTTCACTCCCATCTGAAGAAGAAGAGGAGGAGGAAGAAGAGGAAGAGGAGGAGGAGGAGGAGGAAGAAGAAGAAGAAGAAAATGAAAAGTTTAAGCTTATCCAAGATTATGTGTATGAGAGGCCAGGAAATTTAGAGGAGGAGGAAGAGGAAGAAGAGGAGCAGGCCACCAGCAAACTTACTCTAGAAGATTCACCAGCACTGACACCTCCATCTCCTTTTCGAGATTCAGTGGCTTCAAGCAGCTCTGTGCCCAGTTCTCCTGTGTCCGAATCAGTGCTTTGCATACCTCCCAATGCAACTTACACCACTGTTGTTTTGAGGGATTACAAGCAAAGCTCATCCACTTTGTAGAACAGAAGCTGCTCTGGTGAAAGCAAATAGATCATGTCTTCTTTCTGAGCTTTAATTGGACAGGGAGAAATAGCACAAGCCCCCTGGGGTAAATGAAGGCCAATGAGCATGGTGTATCGGGTGGGGCAAAAATTTGTATCCTGCACTAAATCCATTAGAGGGCTCCAGTTCTTTACTTGTTATATGTGTGGTTTTGTTTTGCTTTATTTTGTTGTTTTAACAGGAAATGATTGTGTTCAAGAGTAGTGTGTTCTGAGAAGATCATCAGAATTCTGACAAAGCACAAATCCCAAGTACAACTTCTTTAGCAAAAAGGAAGTGTAACCGTAACACAGTGTTTGCAAACACACAGTCACAACACTTGAATATGACTCTCCTTGTTAAAATTAGAGGAGAACCATTCTGTGTCTCCACGATGTGCACCAACATTGAATGAGCAGATTGTACTGTAATGCAGCAACATTTGCCTGGAAGGAGAAAATATATTTTGCTAAACCATTTTTAAGTGGAAATAGCAAGACATCTCCTGAAATGTATGTTGGGGAAGTCACCTAGCATGTTAGGATGTAGCTTTAAAGAACATTTAGAAAAACTGATTTAGCATTCCCCTCTCCCCTTGTATACTATTTTTAAAAAAAAACCTGGAGTAAAGCATAAGAAAGTCACAGAAAAATTTATTGATACAATCAAATCCAGAATCCTTGTAGTTTTGAAATCTTTGATTTGCCATTGTGGAAGAAGACTGCAAGCCAGGTGACTGTTAACACTACATTCTCTGTAGCAAAACAATAGTTACTGACTCAACTTTAATAATCCAATGAGATTGCCATGTAATTAGATTGTTTGTTTGTGTTACTATGGAAACAACTACATATAAAATAATTATATATTTTCAGCAACAATTACTACTTTAAGCAAAAAGTCATTCTTAATAGCGGTTCATTAGATTCATAGTAGATGCAAGAGAATGAATGTTTCTGTCTGTCTGTGTGTGCGCGCATGTGTGCAAGTGTGCATATGTGTTTGTGTGTAAGTATATAGATATATAGATATATATGTAACTATACAACATGTGATGTGTAATATCTAATAACTGCCACTGGAGGATTGTCCTAGAATATATTATGAATATTTTTTATGTTTCAAATCATGTTTTATATTGCATTGTTTAAAAATATATTATAAACCTTTGAAGATTTGTATGTCGTGCTGAAACATTTTTAAAGAGCTAAGCTCCCCCTTATAACAGGGTGTTTGATTTTGCTGATATATTTGCCATGTGGAATTATGCTGTTGAAAATAATCAGTGCTCCAATAAGTTGTTATTTCATGTGAATTAAGGAAATGTGATTAATAAAGAATGCATCTCTTTTAGAAATTTTGCACATGGCAGTATTAAACCTTAAACAGAACCTTCAGAAAAATGTTTAAACCATGTTTAGCTTCCTTTGGAAAAGTAAAATATATATTTTGCCATCGTAAATACATATATATTTCTTTCCTGCTTTAGCAAAACCTATGTAAACCTGATACCAACCTCTATTGTTATTTTTCTACTCCTGCTCTGTAGATTTCCTCCAGTTTCAGGATATTCCACCACCTTCTCCAGATTTATTTTCCAATAATAATAATGCTTGGGTTAGATTTGTGCCCACTCTGTTTCTTTCTTACCTTCTTTCTTATTTTTGTCATCTAAGAAAAGGAGAGTTAAACTAAAATCAGAATCCAGACGCAGAAAGAATTTGGAAAACCAGAAAGTTGCAGCTAGTTGAATCTGAAGAGCAGGACAATTGCAAAATAAATGTTTCCTCTTTTCTGGAGGAATATCCCTTTATATCCTTTTAGAAGGATTATATATCCTTCTAAAAGTCATTTCTCTGGACACCAGTGTTGTAATAATCAGNTCTTTAACTGTAGCACCCCATAAACTGTCCCATTTCTTGTCAAATCTCTCAAGTCCTTCTGCAATATTTTGAAGTCCAGCCAGGATGTTTTGGATTATTAAATTTTCTTCCTCTGAATATTGATCCATTTTTCAAAATGCAAAGAAATATAAAGGGGGAAAAAGGAATCCCGCATTTTTTTTAATATACCTTTGTAAGAAAATGTGAAAAAGAGAGAAGCCATTTTGCAGCTCAGCCTGCAGGGATATCCACAGGATATTGTCACAAAAGTCAAGATAGTGGCTGGAACAGTACAATCAAAGCTCCCAATGTTTTTACTCATTCATTTTACAGAAATCCTGTCAGCCTGAGACAAATACCACTTCTCTTATGCCCTGGTTTGCTTTGAAATACAGCTTATGCGAAGTAGGCCTACATTGCTGTGGCTTATACCATAGTTTAAGCATGCAAGTGATCATTATTCCCTGCTCAGCCCATTGATGTAATGTCTGCTTTGTCTTAAGTCTGAGCAGCAATGCTTCCCTTGGTAGAGCAAACCATCGCACAGAGTAAAATGCGGGAGAAGATTGAATTAAGCTAATCTCTGATGTTTTTGCTCTTTGCATAAGGAACAATCTTCTTAGGCAAAGAATTGTTAGTCCTTCAGGAGTCACTGTAAAACAAACTAAAGCAAAAATAGTGCTCTAAAATGAGAGAGTAAACCCAGTAGGCATGAAGGCAGCTATGTGCTCCTCTTTTTCTTCCTTGCTCCTTGAAGCAATCATTTGTTACTGAGACCTCTAATTTATTGCATAGATCTGTAGCATGAGACAAACTTGCATTATGAAGCTCAGCATTTAGGAGAGACCGAAGATGCACCAGGACTCATGAATGATGCTTATAACTATCTGACATTTCTTTGCTTCCCAAGGTAGAGGATGTCAATGCATTACAATGGAAAATTAGAATGGAAAGTTCACTTTGTTTTTGCATGAGTGTGTATGTGCACATAATTTAATTTCTTGCTTGACTGGATATCATAGCACATTCCCTTGTAATGGTAGACCTGTAAATATTTATAAAACAGGCAAAAGGAAGAAAGATATTTAGAAATGTAGCTATTTAATAGTGAATTACACACCGAATTCTTTTCACTTGTACATAGTATCCAGTTTATTTATCTGGAGAACAAACCTTTATTCATAATTTATAATTCAATTTAGAATGACACATGCATATTAAAATTAATTTCTCTTTTGACCATATCTTTCCAGAGCCCAGTTTAAAAGCTAAATATTTGGTCCAAAGATACCGCTGCGCGTAACTACAATACTGATGTTTTGCCTTCCATTTGTCAGGCTCATATGTTACTTTTTATTACTTTAAAAAAAAACCAGAAACAGATAGAGGCCTGGATGGGAGCAATGGAAGAAGATACACTGATGTCTGTAGAAATCACTTTACCAATCCCTAATATAAAGATTCTTATGCAGTATTTTCTAGAGAAGGGCAAATGTCTCCCAGTGCAGGAATATGGATGCTTGCTGCAGTAAACAATCAAGAGAAGATTCATGTTTGCTTGAATTATCAATACTTCAAAATACAAGAATAATTGCTTAGACTTCTGTTTTCCTCAGATCCAACCTTATCCCAGTTTATTTTTTCCTGCAGGTCTTAGTCTTAAAGTGGCTTAAACAGCAGAATTATTTGAAACAGTGTACAAATGAATACACCTTATGCAGCTGTAAGATTTTCACATTTCAGTTTTGTGTTGTCAATAAGACTTGTAATATCATGTGCCCAAGGAAAATGGCAGCTGTCTCTTTCCATGCAGGTTGGAGATCATCATTTATCTGCTACAGAAGAAGCTAGGATTAGCCAGAAAGAAAGAGCCTAGCATCAGCATTCATGTGACAACATTGACTAGTTTGAATCTCAGTTTGGTCGGCTTTTTTTGTTTCAATTGCTTAACTTATAAATCAGTATATTACCCAGGGAAAAGATGTTAATTCAGTGAACAAGTTTTATGTATTGTGTGACCACAGCCAGCTTATTTTTCGCCACCTCTTTGCCTTTTATATCACAACATATGCTTCTTTCTATTATAAAATGTCATTGCAGCAGAGTAGTAAAAATGAAGGGCTATGTATGTTCATTGATGAAGTAATAATCAAACTACCATTTGAATAAAGATCAGTGGTTTCCCTTTGGAAACATTGCATACGGAGCATAGAAAATTTATGAGAATTTCATAATATTACAGAACAATTTAGTATGTTATCAGGGTGGGAAGTTACAAACCAACAGGTAAGTGGTAGTTTCTGTTTACTTCACCTGTTTTCATCATCTTCATAACCCTTCTGACAGTGCTATAACTATTTTTTTCTAGCAAACCATTGATTAGCATATTCATTAATGTGGGCCAAAATAGGGCATTTGGCAAGAACAAATGATGAAAATGTGATAAAGGAATGGGGGACACAGTGCACTATGTAAAACTATCAACTCTTCAAATAACCATTATAGTGTACGTACATTCTTTTGAAATATTCAGTCCATAGGCAAGGAAGCATTCATACTTTATACCAATCCTTAAATAAATTAGGCACATTACATGCAGATAAATCCACAAATTAGTTATTAACCAACTTACATCTCTCTGGCTTAGCCATCCACCTATTTCCTTCAGCTGAATCAATGGTCTCAGTCAGTGGTTCTCAACCAGTGGTCCACAGACCTCTGGAGGGATTGCGATGTCATTACAGGGGGTTCCACAAAGGCTTGAAGAAATGTTATAATTTAAGTCTTGAGTTAAGTCTTGGGAATTGGTGGCCATGGTCCAAGGCCACCAAAAGTATTTAAAGGGGGTCCATGGTGAAGAAAAGATTGAGAACCACTGGTCCCAGTAAAGAAAAAAATGTAATGTTTAATTGCCTGGAATTAAATCTTCCTCTCCATGGGTAGCCAGGCAAACTGTTTAAGGGGACCTGTAATGATTCTGATCTACTCATCACACTATAATCATTTGGTAGAACTGCATTTCATTTAATCTCTGATTTTTTACAGGAGCTTGAGTAGGTTAAGAGATATTTCAGCAATGGGTTCTCTGCCTGGTTGCTAGGTGGGCATGGCCATGGTGAGCGTGGCCTAGTCAGCCTCCTGCATCATGGCAGGGAGTCGCGTTTTTGCCTTCCTGAGGCTCTGGAGGTTTTCCTCAAGCCTTTGGGAGGGTGAAAACTGCCTCCCCTGGGCTCCAGAGGCCATAAATGGGCC